GAGTCTTGAAAGCGAGGTGAGCATTTGACTCCTGGCCCAGACACTTGTGAAGTGGACAGACACAGTGTCATAGTTAGGAGACAAAGGCAACTGGGCACCCCAGTGAACTGGATACGGGGCACCAGGGGAAGAGAAGAATCAAAGCTTGTGACTTCAACAGTTGGGTCGAAAGCAGTGGCAGCTTAAGACTTGGAACTGACAGATTTGGGGCAGGAAATTAAGAGTTCTAATTTAGCCATATTACATTAGATGTTGAGACAAATGGATCTAAAGCTCAAGATTCATACGAGCACTATCAGCTTTTGTAAAATAGAGATAATAGTACCTGTCTATTGTGGGGCGTTGTGGGCTAATGCACCAGACTGCAAATCCGCTTGAACTGCAATGTTGGTAGTTCAAGCTCACCAGCTGCTCCTTGGAAACCCTATACAGGGTTGCTATGTGTTGGAACCGACTCGATGGCACTCCACAACAACAACATTGTTAAAATGAAATAAAATAACTTATGTAAAATGTCTGGCATCACGCAGGCATTTAACAAATGGAAATTCATTATTAGAAAGGAGATTTCTGGCAAGTTCCCCTCACTCCTTCAAGCACCCGTGGAAAAAGAATCAGAGAGAAATGATTTCTTAAAATAAGTTTCCTGGGTTATTGGTTTCAATTCCCTGAACTCTCAGCCCTTTTTCTCTGGGCTCAGCTCAATGCAGCATTCAGATAAGTTCCCTAAGATTTTCTCAGCTAATTTTTTTCTTTTCCTTGTCTGCGTCGTAGTGGTTACAAATCAGGCTGCTAACCTCAAGGTCGGCAGTTCGAAACTACCAGCCGTTCTGTGGGAGAAAGCTGAGGCTTTCTGCTCCTGTAAAGGTTTATAGCCTCGGAAACCCTGTTCAGGGTCACTATGAGTTGGAATTAACTCCAAGGTACTTAACAACAACAACAATGTATTGGCAAATTGGAGGGTCAGAGAAAAAGAGGAAGACCCTCAGTGAGATGGATTGGCACAGTGGTAGCAGCAATGAGCTCAGGCATAACAACGATTGTGAGGTTGGCACAGGACCCGGCAGTGCTTCATTCTGTTCTGTTGCTATGAGTTGGCACCGACTCGATTGCACCTAACAACAACAGTGTACTGGAATCTTATCGAAACACATCTGATGATTTCCAATCAAAAGAAAACACCAAACCCACTGCCACTGAGCAGAGTGGAACTGCTCCTTAGGAATTCTAAGACTGTAATTAATTCTTTACAGGAGTAGACAGCTTCATCTTTCCCCTCACAGAGTGGCTAGTGGACTTGAAGTTTTAACATCCATCCTTCCATCCATCCATCCACCCACCCACCCAACCATCCATCCATCAATCCATCCATCCATCCACCCACCCAACCATCCATCATTCCATCCATCCATCCACCCACTCAACCACTATTTACTAGCAATATAGCTGACAAGGAAACTGTAATGAACAAAGCAGGTGAGGTTCCCGGCCCTCAAGGGTTTACACTGTGGTAGAAGGAGACAACAAATAAGCAAACAAGACAATTTAAGGTTGTGATGCCAGCAGAAACTATAGCCTCAACAGATAATGAAAATCTTGAAGACTTGAAACAATAAAGTCAGGGTGTACTAGATGCACCCAAAATGCATTTAGTCATCGACTTTTCTCGGCTGCTGGAGAAAACCATGCTCATCAGAGGTAGTATATCCCCCTTCATTATTTCCTAGTTGGTTGAATTACCCATCTTAAAAATAGCCACTAAATATCTCTTTGAGGTTTAAGGTGAGGAAAGATCTAGTGATGACTTTGGCCCTAGCCAACTATGTGACCTTGGAGCAAGTCTCTTCACCTCTCTGGTTGGGATATTTGGCCTTTTACAGTTTAGAGGGAGCTTTGATCAGACATTGTCTCATCTCAAGCTTCTAGCCTGTTTTTCAGTTGCAGGATGAGGAACCACGTTGAATCTAAGCCTTAGACTCCAAATTGGGCCTTTTGCCCATAGAGACACTCTGCTCCTTGAAGGCCTCTGGCCCTCTCACCATATATTTGACATGCTGGTTTGCATGCCCCTTTCTCCCTCTCTATTCCTGGGGATCAGAGCAGTATTTGATACCACTGGGCAACCAGCCAGTGTTGGAATTAAGCAAAAGGAACTAAGTGAAATGAGATGAGAGTTTTGATTAAGGAAGACTGTCACTAACTTTGCTTTTACTGATTATATCCAAGAGTGACAGCTGCCACCAGAGATCTAAGAATCCCTTCTGCACTGCAGAGCTTCCCTTCCGCAAGGAATGTGTCAGGGAACCAGCTCTTGCCAATGGGTTTGGGCAAAAGTGAGTATTTTCAGGGGCTGACAAGGTTGCAAAGGGGCATACCTTCTGTGGTGCAGTGACTTACTTAATATGGCTCATCCAGCCATTGTTTTTGTAAAGTTCACCAAATGACTGGGTGGGACCCTGCATATTGGGGGTATTTCCTATTTTCCTGATGGGTCTGGGTAAGAGAAGGTGGGGGAAGATGCTGATAGGATTATATGATTCCGCTGCAAGTGATTGTTAACTGAGTTCAGTGTAATTATATTGGTTGTTGGTAAGTGTCGTCAAGTTGGTTCCAACCCATAGCGACCCTGTATAGGGTTTCCAAGGAGGAACTGGTGAGCTTGAACCACCGACTTTGTAGTTTAAATGACTTTGCAGTCTGGCGCATTAACCCACAGTGCCACACCATGTAATTATAAAAACCTAGACCTCTAACATGGGAATAGGTCCATTTTGCCATCCTACGGGGTATACAATGAGCCATCTCAGAAGCAGGAAAAGGGGATCTCACTATCATCCAGAAAGAAGAGCCAGGAGTAAAGCATGTGCTTTGGACCCCAAGACTCCTTCGTTTGCCACCAGAGGAGAGGCAAAGGTGTGACAGAGCTAAACCTGAGCACCTTCAGGCAGGAGGCCTGCTTTTGGAATGGGGTGTCCCTAGATACTTAATTAGGGGGGTCTAGGTTTGCTGACCCAGGAAACTACAGCTGAGCACCTGAAGACTGAGGCTTATGGTAGAGTAGCAGCATGTCCTTTGGGCATTTATCGGAAGCTCCGAGAGTTCTTTGTAACATTGCCTGAGCAGGGCAGAGGCCAAGGGGCCACGTGGCTGAGGGGTCAAGGGTCAGAGAGAAGCCCGCCCGTGGGAATGGCTGGAAAGAGGCTGTCCCAACCAAAGGACAATATACTGAACGCTCTGAACCTGAATGATAATCTGTTAACTCCCCTTAGAGTCCCATGGTTGTGAGTATTGTCTGTGAGTTTCTGTGGGGACACTGCAATAAATTGTTAAACCCAGCAGAAGAAAGTGTGCTTTGGGAAGGATGGGTGATTACAAAAAAAAAATAAAATAAAAGGTTGGAAGACAGAGCCATGTCTGACACCTGAGCCTCACAGGAATTGGCCTTGGGCTGGTGAGTCTGACTGTCCTTCCCCCTGGTGAAGTTAGAGGAGGTCCAAAGTCACGTTTATATCTTCCCTATAACCGTCTTCCTCAGTCATCAGCTGAACAAAGAGGATTCCAAAGCTTAAGAGAGGGTATACGCACAAGATGAAAGGAGTGTGAGTCCCTGAATCATGCCAGTAACCAGCCTCCCAACCAACCAAGAGCATCCTGATTCAGTTGTGACCTGAGCAAGAATAAATGTATTTGTTACAGTAGCTAGTGTTATCTTAGCTAGGCATCAATTAGTATTTGCCCTGATTTCACTCATCTTTGGAATGTAAGACACGGTCAAACCACAGTTATAAGAGGCGATTTTCATGTCTTAAAAACAACAACAAAAAATTCAACTGGAAGACTGACTCGGGAAATTTGGGAGATTTATAAAGGACATTTGAGAAATCTAGTATATAACAGTCAAGAAAAGACAGAATAGCATTTCTCTGCTTACACGGTGCTATTTCTCCTGGAGCTGATTCTACTATGGGCCAAGTGGCAGCTCTCACACATCCACCTACCACATAGGGCTATTGAGGGACCAGTAACTAAGCTCAGATCAGTGAAGCATTTAACGCAGAGGGTTGTCATGAATTGAATTGACTCGATGGCATACAACAACGCAACAATAACAAGTACCTAATAAATGTTCCCTGTTGTGTGGCACAGTGGTGCAAAGATAGAACATGGGAGAGAAGAGCATTTTTAAAATTTATATCATCTTTTACCTCTTCACCTTCAATAATATCCCCACTTAGGGCTTAGGGAATCGCTGGGATCTTTTCCACCGATAACTGCTGCTTTTACAGCCCTTTCAGAGCCTGCCATTACCTTCCCTCTGAGTGAGCATCCACACCCCAGTCAAAGGTATTTTGGCCTGAAAGCCATTTTCTTTCAACAGAAAGACCTCTCTGGTTTATAGGGTGACATGTGTGGTTTCTTGCCATCCCTCTAGAAGGTTCTTTTGGATAGCATTTTAGACAAGAGGATTTTATTGTCTCTGATTATATACCAGAGATGCACAATCAATCCTTTCTCCCTTTACCCCCTCTTCATTCTTTCACTGCAATAGTTTTAAGTAAGACCAGAAGGAACAATATAAAGTCCTACAACTTTGTATTGAAAAATGATCTGATGGAAGCATAGACCAGACCTTTAGGGTGGAAGCCCAGCAACTCCAAATACACTGAAATGGATGAGCCTGTGGAAAAGAAGCAATCCAAAAATACCCACATAAATCTAGTTTCTCTGCGTCTATGGCCCAGGGTGTAAATCGTACCCTGGCAGAATTGTCTTCCCAGCATGCCAGTTGGGTGGCATTGTAGGTTCACTGGTTGGATCGAGGAAAAGGCCATATTAAAATATAAGCTCTGTGAAGTGGGGATGCTAATAGTACCTGCTTCACAGGATTACTGTGAGGCTCCCCCGAGCTAATTAATGTGTGTGAAGGGCTTCCACAGAGCTTGGCACCCAACTACAGTATTTTAATACACAGTATGTATAGCTAAGTCGTGCTGACCTACCTCATCAAAGTTGGCTCTGATTACTGTGTCCAGTATTCTCTGACAGTGTGTCCTGTACATCATAATAAAGGTAGAAACCTGTGGGGGGGTGGGGAGAGGGGTGGGGAGATTGACAATAAAGGTGTATATTAATGCACATGACTACTGGCCTTGGGATTTCCATTTTGTCTAATTCACTAAGTCCCTGTTGATGGGACAGAACCCACCTAACTCCGTTCACCCTCCTCTGTGCTCCCCCATCACCTGAGTGTTTATTCTTCCAGAACTAATCCTTAGTTACTGGAAGCACCAGACTCTCTCCTTCTGGCCCCTACTCCACCACTCCACACCTCCCAGGAAAAGAAAAGTTGCCGATGACTTGTGTTTCTATATCCAGCACTTATCACAGGGTCTGGCCCATCGGAGGTATTCAGTAGAGTTTATTGAACTAAATCCTCCTCATTGGCTGAGATACTGAAAAATTAAAACCCATTGTGGATTTATAAGAAGAGGTTGTTGTTGTTGTTAAGTACTGTTGAGTCGGTTGCGACCCTGTATAGGGTTTCCGGGAGTGACTGGTGAGCTTGAACCTCTGACCTTGCAGTTCAAACGGCTTTGCAGCCTGGTGCATTAACCCACGGTGCCACACCAGGACTCCATAAGAAGAGGTACTTCCAACCAAATCACCAAAAGTCATTTGGAAACCATCTAGAATCTGCTTAGCAAAAAAAAAAAAAAGTTCTCTCCAGCTCCATGTATCTGTGAATTTTGTAACTGTGGGTCAGGAGGCCTGTTTCTACAGATTTTAGGAAAATAAAGAATAATCTAGGGCTTAGGGTTAAAGCATCCTTTCCAGCTTCGAGTTGATTCTCTTGCTTCAGGACATAGTCATGCAGTTGATGTAAACTTTGTTTGCTTATCCAAACACCTGTGTCTCCCATCTGACAGTAAGCTACTTGAGAGCAGAGCTGCTGCGTCACTCAGCACTGCCACCCCAGCTCCTGGGCCATGTACAGGCTCAGCATTGTTGGCACACTGGTCTGCACCAAGGGAGGGACAGCAGTGGTGGGCTATCCCAGGGGAAACGTCTGATAGTCTGTCCTCCAAACATACTATGACCAAAACTACCTGATATACTAGGCGTATAAAACCTTCTCTATCTGTGGGACTATGGCTTCACCACACACAGCAAATGAACTTTATCTTGTGACAAAGCATTTCAGAGGAGAGGGGTCCTTCTCTTACAAACTAAGACAGTGCGATACCATGTAAGTACACACGAGGGAACTGCAAAAAGTTCATGGAAAAATTCCATCATCTTTTCATTCCATTTCTCCACATACTTTTTGAAGCCCCTACATATATGCTGCTGCTGGTGGTGGTGATGGTTGTGTACCACTGAGTGGGCTCTGAATCATAGCGACCCCATATAGGGTTTCTGGGAGTCCTGGTGTGGTGGTGTAGGATAAGCACTCAACCTCAGGATTGGTTTGAACTGCAAGGTTGGTGGTTCAAACTTACTAACTGCTCCTTGGAAACCCTATACAGGGTCTCTATGAGTTGGAACCAACTCAACAGCAGTTACCAATAACAACAACAAGGTTTCTGAGGCTGTAAATCTTTATGGGAGCAGAAAGCCTCCCATGGAACGAATGGTAGATTCGAACTGTTGTCCTTGCAGTTAGTAGCCCAACTCGTAATCCACTACACTACCAGAGCACCTTCCCTCATATATACACAAATATATACATATATATATATATTTGGAGCTCTGATAGCATAGTGGTTATGAATCAGATTGCAAACCACAAGGTCAGCTGTTCGAAACTACCAGCTGTTTGAATTGCAAGGCCGGCAGCTCAAACTCACCAGTGCTCCTTGGAAACTCTATACAGGGTCACTATGGGTCAGAACCGACTTGACGGCACTTAACAACAACTACGTGCATACATATACATACACACAAGGGAGCTTCAAAATTTTTTGTGGAAATACTCCATTATCTTTTAAATTCTGTTTTTTCATTAACATTTTGAAGTATATATATATATATATATATATGGTATATGGTGTGGCACTGTGGGCTAATGGGCCAGACTGCAA